CAGATTTGATGTGTTAACATAAACATTCAAATGCATTTCATGGCTTCCTGAATGAACTAATTATCAAGTGTTTTGGCCCAGAATTGCAAAAGATATGAGAGATATAGAATTCCAGTTTTCCCCTTGTCACCCCTTAGCCAAATTTCAATCTCTGTTACAGGTTGTAATCTGAGAATTTTGGAGGTTTTTTGTTAGTACAATCAACAATTTTCACACTAAAAATACAAAAAAATACTCAAATCAAAGCTCTCAATCATAGGAACAATATGCAAATTTTTGTATATTTTTGTCTCTCTCCCAGACTACTCAATATCTTTGTGTGTTGGTTTTTATATTTTCTGCCCAGAAGATATTATATTTTGTGTATTGTTATATGCATTGTGGTTTTAAAAATATGAAAAAATATGCCAGACAATCGGAATGCATCAAAGGGTCCTCCCATTATTTTTTCATATTTTTCTGACCCTTGCCAGCTTCTCTATAATTTTCTATGTCTACTCAATTTTCTAAACTCCACGGTAAATTTGCAATTTGGCATAGTGTAAAATCCTTTGTGCAGTCCCTTCATGCTGATATTGATCCCAAAATTCCTACCACCTTGTCATTCTCATCAGTCCCAGTGGTCAAAAATCTTTTCAATCCTTAGTCAACCATTTTCTTGGCTGAGTTTGAAATACTTTATTACAACATCAATCTTTTTCAATCTTTTTCAATCTATCAACCATGGCTCAATCTACATTGTCAGTTGATGAATGCTTTAGTTCACCACGGAGTTTTGAGACTCAATCTGTACGTCTGACAGTCAGAGTTAAAACTCCTGGTGAAAGTCTGAATATCGTTCAACTCAAGGCTATTGTGGACAAAGGTTCAAGAAGTTTGAATGACACAACTCATATCACACTCATTGCAACTGAATCCAACGGTCAGTTTACTCTATTTCTCTAACCTTACAAATCTTGTCAAATTTATTTGCCATATTGAACTTTCCATTGATTTCCACAACAGGCGGCAACAACTTGTTACCCAATGACATGCTGGCTTCAAGTCTTCCAATGAATGCCAAAATTTTGGCTTTAGTTTCACCCAACTCAAATGAGACTACTTGACTACACTCAGGCAATGGCATTCATTTATCCTCAATATTATTTGTTTACACCCCCACGTCACTGAAAACATACATAAAAAGACCTAGATCAATTTCTTCATCTCCTGCCATAGGTTGGTTACAATTAAGATTGAGTTGGGATATAAACTTAGAGGGATTGATTGATTATTTTGTTAGAGTTATGAATTTGGATAAGGATTCAGTTTCCAAAGAATCCCTCTATCACGATGTTATCCTCAGGAATTATTCCCCTCAGACCCTCAACACCCAAATAAATTCAAATCATAAAGGTTATATTGGCCCTCAAGTTATGTTTAGACTTTGGGATGCTTCTGGACGTGAATGGAAATATCCTACATCATTTGGTTGAGCTCAGTTCTTGGCTTGCTTTGAGTCTTGAGAAACTGAAAAAAAACTGAACTTTCTGCCTTCATTGATAATCTAGATTGGCGATAGTTCTTCATGTTTCTCCGTGGACTCAGTCTCTGATACTTCAACAATTCAAGGCAGGCAACATGGATACCTTGCTACAGCTCCCGCCCACAGCCCAACAGTAATCATGGCCAGTCCTTCTGAACACGAATTGGCCTATGATGAAGAGTACTATCAACATCTGGACCAATCAACAACAATGGCCGAGAATAGTCTCATTAATTCATCAACAGATTGGAATTCAAGCGCTACAACACCCTTTCCAGCTTCTATTCAAATCAGGAACTTGACCAGTGTTAGTATGTTCTCTTCATTCATTTTTTTTCTTGAGGCTAAACATCTTCAACCAAATTAATGTTTTACAAAAATTGTCCATTTACTGGATTTGAAACAATTAACACAGATACAAGATCAAGTGGTGAGAGAGTGTGAAAGATTATGTGAAAGCCAACAATCAACCTCTAACATATATTCAATCCAATGTATGAGCTTTGAAGAAAAGATTTCTTTGCTCATGAACCAATTGAATAATTTAGATCAAGAAAATTGTACATTGAAACAAGGTATCCAAATAGATATTTCCACCAAATTTGAAGAAAAAATACACCCACTTGCAAATCAATTGAATAATTTGACTGAAGAAAATGTTACTTTGAGTAAAGTGATTCAAGCAGATGTTCAAACTGTGGAGGGGTTATGTCAAAGAATTGATTATTTAGAAGGTGTGAATCACTTTTTTGAAGCTGAAGTTAAAGCCAAAGTTCAAAGTGTAAGTTTCAATCCCCTTCCATCACATCACAACGTCTTCTGATTTGTTTTCCTTCAAGAATGATTAGCTTTGAGAAGACCTACCAGAGGTTATCACCTGCCCTGTCTTCTGTGAAATATATGGATCACTAGCCAGATTGGGCGGCGGGCGCCGCACTCTTAACTCTTAGTTGATTCAACATATTAACTACTTTTAGGTGGATCAAATCTTAGTATGCACTGTGCTCACATTTATGCTGTTCAGCCGCGTACAAAACTTTGAATTGTGTAAGCTATTGTGATTTAGTGTTTTAATATCTTTAGTATTGTTACTCATCATCAATGCTCTTGCACTGGTACTTTTTATTGCTTCAAAAATCAGTGAACTCATTACTAAAGGTTACTACACAATTGGGAAGTTATACAACAACTTTTACTACTTAGTACTAACAACATCTCTTCTATTGATTCTGAACTGATTTAACAAATACCAAAAAACTATAGCTGAAACAAATTGAATAGCTCATATCTATCTTTATTCATTCAATTCGAACTTTGCGCTAAAGCAGATTTATTATTACCTGGTCTTTTGAATTACTCTATGTCAGTTTATGTCTCGAATTAGTACATGAGCAAATTTACGTGCTTACAGGAATTACCCAAACTCCCCTGCCCACAACCTTTGATTTTACCTAGTTCTTCATAAAAGCCTGTTCGGAGTTGAAGTAAGTTAGTTAACTCCTTTATAATCAATTCAAATATACTCAATCGTACTTACCAATATGTCAGTGTGGCTTATTTCTGATCTAAAATGGCAACTTATACCATGAGCTTCGAACACCTTGGCTACCTCAGGGTCCTTAATTGGGTCACCATCGCCCGTTATGAGAATGAAGGTTTTCAAATTGATGGCTTCTTTTAAATGAGGTCCACCAGCTGAGTTTAAAACGGCCTCCCAGTAAGCTTTGTTGCTGTGGTAGTTCGTAATGAAGACTTCGATCGTATGCAAAAGTGTCCATTCAAACCAAATTGGTCGGTCGCGGAACGTATTAACATGTCTGCATCGTACGACTCAAAGTTTCGGAAAGGTGTCCATTTGGAGGGAACGAGGGAGATCATCTGGAATTGTCCTGACTGTCAATCCTTCTAGCAATTTGTGTAATGATACGATTAACTTTGCAGAGTTCTGAGGACAATGTGAAGGTGTAAATTCGAGGAGCTTGATTTTGCAATGACTGTTTTGACAAAAGTGGGCCGTTGCTATTTGCAGCCCACAAGAAAACCATGTAGGCGCTGCCAAAACAGCGCCTACATGGGTGTTTCCCACGAAAAAGCGCCTACATTTATGATGTAGGCGCTGAAAACCATCCAAAATGACGCCTACATGATAAATAACCTATGTAGGCGTCATTTGGTTACGCCTACATTCAAAAAATGAAATGTAGGCGTAATTTTCAAGCACCTACATATCTAATTTGAAATGTAGGCGCTATTTTTGAGCGCCTACATTCAATTTTCAGCTCAAATAAGCGCCTACATGCAGTCCTGCATATGTAGGCGCTACAAATCCGGCAACTACAACTCTAGACTGGTCTGACGGCTAATGAAGAAGAAGTTTCAAGTTAAAATGAGAGTATTGGAAGACGGAAAAAGCAGTTTGTACTCAAAATGAGTGCATCGGAAGACGGATAAAGCAGTTTGGAGTTGAAATCAGTGTATCGGAAGATGGAAAAGTAACTCCAGAGTCAAAATGAGTGTATCAGAAGACGGAAAAAGTAGTAAATTATTTCAACTCTGAACTCAGTTTGGAGTCAAAATGAGTGTATCAGAAGCGGAAAAAGAAGTAGATTATTTCAACTCTGAACTGCTATTTACGTCTTCTGATACACTCACTTCAGAGTTGAAAAGAGCATATTCATCTTCCAATATGCTTAACTGCTTTTTCCGTCTTCCAAACCACTCATTTAAACTCCAAGCTGCTTTTTCCATCTTCCGATACACTCATTTCAACTCCGAACTGCTTTTTCCGTCTTCCAATACTCTCATTTTAACTTGAAACTTCTTCTTCATTAGCCGTCAGACCAGTCTGTAGTTGTAGGTGTTGGATTCGGAGCGCCTACATATGCAAGACTGCATGTAGGCGCTTATTTGAGCTGAAAATTGAATGTAGGCGCTCAAAAATAGCGCCTACATTTCAAATTAGATATGTAGGTGCTTGAAAATTACGCCTACATTCTGAAATTTTGAATGTAGGCGTAACCAAATGACGCCTACATGGGTTGTTTATCATGTAGGCGTCATTTTAGATGGTTTTCAGCGCCTACATCATAAATGTAGGCGCTTTTTTGTGGGAAACACCCATGTAGGCGCTGTTTTGGCAGCGCCTACATGGTTCTCTTGTGGGCTGCAAATAGCAATGGCCACAAAAGTGACTAACTGCATCTAAGTTTTTTTCATGGCACGTAATCCAGAGATGAGATAGGCTTGGTAATGACCCGGGTGCTAAGTTCAAGCGTGCCAAGTTTGTCAATCTTAATGAAAAAGACTCTAGAGAAGGACTATTTTGTAAGACAGCAGATAAAGATGCTGAATCGTTGGTGATAGTTCTCATTAGGGTTCCTTCAATTAATAAAGCCTTGAGATTCTTTATGCGTTTCATTGCGACGACCATACTATTGGAGAAACCAACTGAACAAGCAAATATCAACTTTAAATCAACTAATCTGGACCCACATAAGCTAATGATATTGGCAGCATCGGGCATCAAAATGCAGTTCGGCTCCCAGCGATTGTATTTGAATTCAAATTGATCACTGCATTCGTCTGATAGTCCCATGTGGTATCCATCTGATTTTGTCGCTGGGATAAACATGAGCGGATTCAAGCAAAGATGTCGCAGGTTAGATAAGTTCGAAACGTCTAAGCAGTTATTCCACATTCTGATGATGTACTTATCACATAACGGTTTAGTTAAATATAAAGAGCTTTCTACAAATTTTGGAACAGCTGCTGCCCAAGGCTCACCGAGCAAACGTAGACTAAGTAATTGTTTGATAGATGACTGGTCAAGGAAAGTTTGATCTGCGCTATTTAATGATTCCTTAGCGGTTGACGTAGAGTTGACATAAAGAAAATGAATTATTAATTCTACTACTTCTAATGGGAGCGATTGAGAAGGAGCCATTATTACTTGCTTTATGATTCAATAAGAAAATAAGCAGAGATGCAATCAAACAAAAGCGATAAGTAGGATCGGGCAACCTATCATATATTTATATCAATCATTAATAACTCCCAAAAGTTAATTGAACTTTTGGATTTAACTTTTGAGGCTCGATTTTCTTATCTACGTCAATCAATATGATTGATTTGTGAACACGCGAGACGACATTAACTAATTACGCTTGGCAAAAGCATGAAATACTTACATATAGATGCCCTACTATATTTCATTTCCGTGAAGTAAGCGCTATTCACAAGATGATTTGTTCTTATAATGTATATTGGCAAATAAATATAGTATTGTCTGCTTGTAATTATCAACAAATGCTGGCAATTCATAACCTTGCGATTTACTTTCTGCTAATGAGTTCAATCAAGGTCAATAGTTCCCTTACTTTGAAAGTCTTTGCTGATTCCAAGTTTCATCGCTAGCTAAAGTAATTACAAAATCTTGGGTATCCATACATCAGTATATATCAAACCCCGAATGCCCTGCTAATGGTAGCTCTTAAATCTTCAGACAAAATTTCTGTTGTCCCGTCGTAGCTGAAATTTTCTGGTTTCCATACTGAAATCCTTTCTCTGGATGATTCTTTACTCAGCTAGTTGCATATAAGGCATCTTTCGTTACGTTTTGTCTCCACCTTACCATTCCATGAAGCTGAATATTTGTATTTACATATTGAATCTAGTAGCAATCATTATTGCTACTTAGTTTTTGTTCTCGTAGTATTTTGTGTAAACGTGTTGCAAAACTACTTAACTACATTGTTTCACCAGTATTTACGTCATATGAATCTTCAGGTCTGTTTGAAAATAAGCACAAATTACAATTTGAATTTTAAATTCTAAAAACTTCAAGGTGACGCAAAGCATTCACTACAAATATCAAAAGCGTGATAAAAGAGGATAAAAGTAACCAAATGAAATCTATTTGTATAGTTATTTGTTTAATTTACTGAACAAACATTGACAATTACACCACTAACTAACTCCAAAGTATGAGAACGGAGGATTAGTTTAGGATTGGGATACTTGTGCTCGATGCACTTCACCCGTAAAAAATTTAGAATGTAAGGTACTTAGTACTCTTGATTTTTCAATGTAGCTAAAATTTCCTGTTAAATAAATTCAAACGACAATTAGTTATATTTAGCATTACAAACTGTGTTGAAAGTCACTTACTAATGCTTCGGTGTATTCCAGATTAGACTTAAAATGACAACTAATTCCGTGGCGCTTGAAACCATTTACAAAGGATGTATCCTTTTCGTGATTCTTTCCTCCAGTGATGAAAACAAAATGTTTGAGATTAGGTGGTGTAATAATTTTTGTTTTTCTCAATCCAATCAACGTTTCTTTCCAATAATTTCTACTATCCTTGTAATTCATAATGAATAATTCAACATTTTTAAAAATTGGCCATTCTAGCCACGTTGGAAAGTCATACAGATCATCCATATAACGAATTTGGATAAAACGCAAGTTCGAGAACTCCACTAATCGCAAGTCTTCTCTGATATCATCTGGAATTCCACTGACAAATATACCTTCCAGTGATTCTTTCAAAACTTCAAATAGCTTGATTGACTCGTCCCCTATTAACATTGGCATGCATTCTAATACTTTGATCTTTCTTCCTTCCGTGCTAATAAAATTTATAATTGCGTTGTAGTTGTTTGGGTGATTGAATATCCAAAAATGAACCAAATTTGGTAAACACCCGGCATCCAAACACATTACTTCTAAGCTAGCAAATTTAAGTGACAGTGATTCTAGAGATATTACACTACTCAAGCCTTCTGCTAATGACTGACTATCATTGACTATACATGGATCTCGAGCTCCTTCAATGATTAACTTTTTGAGGTTTTTAATATGCCTAATTGAATCTATCATATGATCAGAGAAACCAACAGATTCAGTGAATTTTAACTTGAGGTCTCCTAAGTATGATCCACATAGTAAAATGATATCAGCTGCATTCTCCATGAAAATGGAGGCTGACTCCTTATGTTGATACTCGAAGTCGAGACACGCGTATTCTCTAGAGCCGTAGTGCTTTTGTAAAGCTTGATATTTCGCTTCCGGAAAAAAAAATATTTGATCTAGACAAAGCTGATGAATGTACGAAATTGGTGTTGAACAAATGCAATTTTGCCACATCTTGATTATGAAACCATGAACCCAAGGGCTTTGCAGTTGTAAACACCTGTAAACGTACACTGGGATTACATTTGCCCAGGATTTTGAGACT